GAAGAGAAGGGAGAAAAGAAATCAAGAGGTAGTTAAAGAGCAGTTTGAGCTTCCTTATCCTCCTTATCAGCACAGCTATCAGTCAGCAAACCCATAATTAGGCACAAAAGACATTGTGCTCCTGAAAGCTGCTCCAGGAGCTGGGAAGCTGCTGTAGCCAGGAGCTGGAGCACTGACTGACAGCCTCCAGTTGAGAAAAACAGTTACACAATAATTAGTGACAATTTGTCCAAATCAGAGGTGACCTCTGTGGCTGTGCAGAGTCTTAGGGACAGAGCAAAGCTTTCCTCAGCAGCACCACCACAGAGATAAAACAGGACTTGGATTAAACCAAGGTTGGTTCAGGAAAGTCCTTCAAACCTGCTTTGTGGCAACTGACCCATCCTGAGCATCTACAGGTAACTCCAGAGCAGGGAAGCAAATCCTGGGTCTTACTCCCAGTGCTCACAGAGATTTTGTTTTGGGAGAGGGGTTTAGTTTTCCTTTCCCTTTAGCCCTCTGCCACACAGAATCACAGAATCCTTTACTCTGGAAAAGTCCAACAATCAGCCCAGCACCATCACCATATTCACCACTAGCTCAATGTCCTCAACTACCACATCCAAACATTTTTGGAACACTTCCAGGGATGATGACTCCACAACCTCCTTGCACAGCCCCTTCCAATGCTTGACCAACCTTTTAGTGAATAAAGTTTCCCTATTATCCAACCTCAACCTCCCCAGGCACAACTTCAGGCCATTTCCTCTCGTCCTGTCCCTTCTTCCCTGGGAGCAGAGCCTGACCCCCAACCTGGCTGCACCTCCTGCCAGGGAGTTGGAGAAAGCAAAAAGGGCCTCCTGAGCCTGCTCTTCTCCAGGCTGAACCTCCCAGCTCCATCAGCTGCTCCTCATCAAACTTCTGCTCCAGCCCCTTCCTCAGCTCTGTTCCCTTCTCTGGACATGTTCCAGCCCCTCAATGTCTTTTGTCTCCTCGGAGCACAGGCCCCTGAGGTCCCACAGGAGGGACCCCCAGGATACGTCCAGCAGTGGTTTCAGTGCAGAGCTGGCAGGGTGGAGGACGCCCGAAGGGCTCCTGCCCCAGCAGCTGCTTCAGCAGCTGTTCCAACCAGTTGGTGACTGAATTTTACAAGATATCTGTCTGTAATTAAAAAGCAACAGCACTTTGGCAGCCATCAGAAAAATGCATCACTGGATTGCATCCCACCAGGAGTAATGCAGCGGAACATGGAGGGACACAATAGATGTGACCATGAAGGACTTCCCCATTCCTAAACCCCTTTGATTACCTTCTGAACTGCTCTGCCAAGACCACCACCAGCACCCAAAGACCACTGGCTCCCTTCGGACTGGGTGTGAGTCAGAAATGCTCATCTCCTCCCTGTGCCCCTCACACTTGCCCTGAGCCAAGACATATGGTCACAAGGTGCTCCACAGGGTCGGGGAGCTGCAGGGCTGGAGGGGAGACTTTAAACCACAGGTCTTGCACAAGAGGATTTTCTTCATTTGGAATATGTTAAGACATTGTGCCTGTGCCAGCCAAGCAGCACTCCCAGAATTAGCAAAGCTGGGGCCAGATTAAGCTTGGCACAGGAGGGAGTGGTAAGAGGCCCCTGGGGAGGAAGGTGGTGCTCCCCAATCTCATGCCTGGCCCACAGACCTGTACCTGCTAACAGGGCTTGGAAAGCCGCTCCAGCCCATGCCTGGACAATGTCCTGCAAGCTGTGCAAGCTCCAGAAATGCCTCTGAGTGGCTCAAAATTTTCCATGGCAAACCTTTTCCCTTGTGGGAGCCAGGCTGTGGGAGGGAGCTGTTGGGGCTGAAGGGGTAAAGGATGACCTCCAGAGCAAGCAGGGACAGGGGAACACTCTCAGCCACATTCTCTGCTCACATAAGCAGGGAACCAAGGCTGCCTGTGTCTTCCCTGAGAGGTGGGATACCCCAAACACCATGGGATCCATGCCATATGCTCTAGTGGAAGCAGAATTCCAGCTCCAGCCTGCAAAGCACTGCATGCAGATTTGTAAAGCCTTGTGTACACAGTAGACAAATGCTTAATCATCCTGATGACAAACAGACTTGAAACCCAGAAACTTCTCTCTGCATCAACTGCATCAGGAACAAGTTCTACTAAGGAAAAACCCTCCTTTTACTGGAATTTCTTGCAGGGCAAAGAGACATCTAACCACAGCAGTGAAAAGATGGCTAACTCAAGAAGGGATAAATAAGGCCCATGGCATGGCAGACCCCAGGACTTCACCTGCCAGATCCACCCAGGCACGTCCATTTCCATAATGCCAACATGGACATGGCTGCATGGGAAGTTCTGGGGCACCACAGGGATCAGGACACCAACCCACAGACACACCAGGGGTGCAAACTCTGCACCTACCTTGGAGCCTCTGGTCATGTTAGCAAAGAAACTAATACAGAAGGAAGTTAAATTCCCTGTTCATGGTGTCTTGCCAAGCTGGGATTACAGTTTGGGACTCCTGGCACCCACAGCCACGACTAATCCGCTGAGTGTTTTCCGCCCACCCCTCATCCCAGCCTCCAGGCAGTTTCCATGTGCCAAGCTGTGTCTGGTGGTGCAGCAAAGTCTTCTCCATCTCCATCAGAGTCTGCCTTTCTCTTCCACACTTACTGGAGCCCATCTACTCCTCAGGGATCAGAGGAGAGTCAGGCTGGTAGGAAAATACCTCTCCTATGTAAACCATGCGTTCTGCCATTTCCCTCTCCAAATTACACAGCGTCACAGCCCGTGAGGCTACGAAACAGAGAGTCTTCAGTAAGAAACACATCTCCAGAAAGGCTGGGATTAAGGCCCTACACATTAGAAAGGAAAGAGGGAGGAAAAACACGCTCCGTTTAATTACCCAAACCATAACAACATTTGACTATTTTATCCCTGATTCCTGACAAAAGTGGAAATGTTATTTTCCACGAGCAGAGCTGCTGGTTCTACTACAAATAAATAGTCCTGGGCGCCCTCACCATGCAGGGATGGAGGCCATGTGTTTTCATTAATTCTCTTGGCAGAGAAGCCCATGTAGATTTTGGACTGCTGCTCAGGACTGGAACAGGAGAGCTGGGGTGGCCAACATACATCACAGCAGACTACATTTGGCCCAGATCCACCCATGAGCTGGTCCAATACCCAGTTTTATCATCCTAATTACGAGCAGATTCCCAGCTCTCTCCTTCATAAAGGTATCTTCACCCTTTTCCCCCTCCCTCTGGCTGGTTGAAATCAGCAGGTGAATCACAGTCCTTTGTTATATTTGTCCTGTTATTGCTGGTAGACAAAGTTCGGCCTCTTTCATTTTCCTTTATTGCAGCTTCTTTTGCGTGGATTAAAATAATTGATATTGATAATGTGGTCTGCCCCCTGCCCCTGTTCCCAATTACTTGCACAGGCTGGGGATCTTGCCTTATGGATAAGACAGGAATGGTCTTAATTAGCTTTCTGGGCTCCAGAATTGATTCTGGTTTTGATTGGAAAGATTTGGGATTATGCAGGCTGATTGTTGTGGGCTGGGGTCAGCAGCAGAGCTGGCCGGGGGGTGCTGGGGGCTGGCTTTGAGCTGCATTTTCTCAGAGTGCTGCCAGGTGCCCAGGAAAAATGGATAATTTACTGCAGCCACCTTCATGTTCAGGATTAAGAACAACAGCACTGAAGGATCTTTCCATCCAAAGTTTTACTCAGAATGAAGTTGGACCACTGGTGTCCTGCAAGAGCTGAGTGAGCAGCAGCCTTTGTCCAAGCTCATCCCTGCACTCAGTGGGTGAAACCCCAGGAAAAGTAAACAAGAGTAACAAACAGAAGGAGCATTAAAGCTGAAAAGGCAGATCCCGCTCTTTGGATCTGCAGAATTCCATTTCATAGAATCATGGAATCGTTAAGGTTGGAAAAGCCTCTAAGATCATCAAGTCCAATCATCAGCCCAGCACCACCACCATGTTCACCACTAACCAAGTCCCCAAGTGCCACATCCACATAGCTGTTGAACACTTCCAGGGATGGTGACTCCACCACTGCCTTGGGCACTCTGTTCCAATGCGTGACAAACCTTGACATAAAGAATTTCTCCTAATATCCAGCCTAAACCTCTCCTGGCACAACTTGAGGCCATTTTCTCTAACCTCCTTCCAGGGAGTTGTAGAAAGCGAGAAGGTCCCTCTGAGCCTTCTTTTCTCCAGGGTGAGCCCCCTCAGCTCCCTCAGCCACTCCTCATCAGACTTGTGCTCCAAAAGGTTAGATGGACATGGATTACAGAGCAGAGGTGTTATCACTTTCAGTGGCCATAGTGTTAATCCAGAGAATTAATAATCAGGACTGTTTCCTTCCCTACATCAGAGCTCCTCACCCACCCATGGAGCATCATTGGACACAGCATTTTCTTTTCTAACATCATTTCTACAAAACACAAATGGAAAAATCTAGGTAAAGACAGAGGGGGAGCTGAGCTCCACTGTAACCAGAGAGAAGCTGAGACTCAGAGCAGAAAACAAACCACAGTTTATAATCAGGATGCAACATAATCACTGAAACAGATGTCAAAAAGATAAAACCATATAATTCTGCATTGCCAACGATTATGCTCTGCATTTTGGAGAGCACTAGGATGCTCTATTTCTGTCTACATATGTCCACATTTTGGGAGTGTAAGCAGGAAGCACTCAGCAAAACACCACAGAAAACTCCTTTCTGTCCCTCCCCTGCAGCATTTTTATAGTGGAAGTTCTCAGTGAGGCTCAGGTTTGCTCCTGAATCCATGACAGGGAGGGAAGGGAAGGAGAGAAATTGGCCCTTTAGGACTGTGGTTGGGGAAAAATAGCATCACCCAGCTGGCATGTGGACATGATCTGCGTTGCCAGAAGGCTATGATAAAGAAAGAAAACATGGAGAGCTGTCTGGCAGAAAAGGAGAAGTTAGAAAAAAATTACTGCATCAGAGTAAATCAGACAAGAGCAATGAGGTTTCATGTGCAGATCACTCACCTCGTAGTGATAATCCATGCAAGTTAATTCTCTCCAGCAGCGATCTCCTCGAATTTTAATCAGCCCCTGGGGGAAAAAAAAAGACAAAAATATACTCTTATATGCTTTATTTTACTTTCTCTTGTACCTCAAGTTGCCAAAAGCTCTGGTTAATCACAGCCTGTAATGGCAGAGGCTGAATGAGGCACATCCGCACCCCAGGCCCAGTCGTTGTCCCTGAGGGAACATAGTGTATGTGACTCATTCCGCTGCCTGTTTAGTGGAAATTTGACATAAAAATATCTGGAATATGCTTGTGCAATATGCCACATCACTTCAAAGGTGCTGGAAGTTGCCTCATCCACACCTGAGCCTTTGCAGAGCAGCCCAGGGCTCCCAGCATTGGTTTCCAGCACCCCTGGAATAGGAAAAACCAGGCTCTGCCACTGTGCCTCTCTAACACAGACTGAAACGTTACCTGCAGCCCTAAACACAGCCATAGCCACGATTTAAAAACCCAAACCCAACTGCTTCCCTCTGGCAAAGCCTCCTGTGCTGCTTATGGAAAAGGAGACTACCACAGAGCAGGATGGGGACCTGCAGCATCCCCAGCCCTGAACTGGACTGAGATGCAATCAAAGTAATTAGAGAAACAAAAGAGGAGCAGGGGAAGGAAGCTGACAGATCCAAACACAGATGGATGCACTAATGACAGCTCTGCTCCACCTCAGGTTAGAGGTTGGCAAGGAAACAAGCAGGTATCAGAGCTTGTGTGCATTGATATTTCAGGGCAACAAGAGGGTGAAATTTCCAAATCAGTGGGTCCATTCCAGGGCCGGCAGTAATATCGGGATTAAATTTCTTTGCCTCAGTGATGAAGAGTAGAAAGGAATCAGTCGTCCACAGCAGGAAAGACACCTGGCCAGGGATGAGCCTGTGAGCAGGAAGCTGTGCAATCAAGCTGTGCCAGCCCCAAGGTATGCAGCTTCGGCTTTGATGTACGGAGAAAGGTCCCTGATTAGGATCACAATATCCCAAATTGAGGAAAGCTTCACTAGTCAAAAGGTTGAACCAGCTCTATCATCTGCATACAATTAGGGGGTATTTGCCTACCTCTGACATTGTCTCTAATTATAATGCTCCTGCCTTCCTTAGGAGGAAAATACAGGGAGTTTCTGGAAGGAGTTTCTGGAAGGAGCCAGTGCTGCTACACCAGGAGCATCCTGAAGCTTCTTTACATTGCAGCAGAGAATGTTGTCAACAGAGACCATGGCTAAAATGTGAGAGCTCAGAAGAGGTCATTCCAGCATTTTGGCACATCCAGGTCTGGTGGCTTCATCTAAATTCACAGAAGCACAGAATGGGTCAGTTTGGAAGCGACCACAGTGGGTCAATGTGGGCCAACCTTCCTGCTCATGCTGAACCAAATCTTCATCTACAGCATTACACAAAGTTTAGCAGGTTTGGGGCTCAAGAAAAATTCCAAATGCCAGTGAAAGGCCCTCCAAAACTGACCTTAAATATCCAGAAATACCCAATTCTGTATGTCTGTCTGTATGAATGATCTCTGAGAGCCCAGGGCTGTTGAGTACAGAAAACAGAGGACAGAGCAGAGTTTGGCAACTCCTGGCTAGTAGAAAAGGGATGCAAAGTGACCTCACACAAGATTTGTGGGATGGGAAAGCAGAGTGGTGTGTAAAACTGGCTGCAGCTTTATCTCCAGGGAGTCATTCAGCAGATCCCATCACTCTCTCCTCCATCACTCTGCAAGGGCTGGAGCAGGAGAGGCAGGGACAGGACAGACTCACTGTCAGCAGCCTCGGCTTCATCTTCCCCTTCTGAATCATCCCCAGCTCTCCCTGCCCTCCAACCTTTTCTAAAATTACAGGATCCATTGATAGCATCTGACAGGATGTGCTGCAGCTGGCAGCCCTGTCAGGGGAAGGACAGACTCTACGGAAGCCTCTGCAAGAATGTTGGAATATTAAAACTGGACAGTTATCTTGATGACCTTCCCTCCTCCCCTGCCCAAGCTGTTAGCAAGCTCCATTATTCAGCAGGGATGATTAAAACAAGTATATGAGGGAAAAGCACCACACTGAAAATCCAAATCTTCCCTGCAATGAGTCACTGAGGCAGTTAATCACGTTTTGTTTACTACAAAGCTTTCAAACAGGAAAGTCACTTAAAGCTCTTAATATCAAAGCTGTTTTTCAGCATAAAGAACTCCCACTCTCATAATTAGGGGGTGTTTCAAGTCATCTTCACCCTGCTGCTGTCTTTAAGTCCACTTCCCCTCCCACACTGGCACGTGAATTTTCCAGTTTTCAAAGGAATTTGGACCAGGAAAGAAGAGCATAATGTGCACAGAAAAATCTATGTGTTCTGTGGCTTCAGCTTTGCTGAGGAAGACCATGAAAGAAGACAAGCCATGGTGGATTGCTCCATAATTTCAACCCCTCACTCCATACAGTGAAGAATCACTGAATCATTTAGGCTGGAAAAGACCTTTAAGATCCCAAAGTCCAACCACCAACTCAGCACCATCATGTTCACCACTACACCATGTCCTCAAGGGCCATCATCCACAAGTTTTTTGAACAATTCCAGCAATGGTGACTCCACCACTGCCCTGACCAGCCTGTGCTTTACTGTGCTTTCCATGAAAATTAAAATATGTTTCCCAATACCCGATCTATACCCACTCTGGTGCATTCTGAGGCTGTTTCCTCTCATCCCGTCCCTTGTTCCCTGGACACGGTCACACCAGGATGGGTTCTGACACACCTTGATGCTTCACACTAGGATGGACTCAGTTTTTCCATAATTATCTGGCTTCTGCTGACAATTTTGGAAGTCAGTTCCTGTTCTCTTGAAGATGCAAACTTAGTCTGAGACATGGTCTCTGGGTCCAAGTTGAGAACAGGAGGACAGAGGAAGGGAGGAACTGGGGATTCCCAGATCTCCTGGAGTCTCACATTCCTGGGTTCCTCTCAGTCTGCTAACAATTCCCAACCCATTTCCATGATTTCTGTGTGTATATTGAACTGGCCTGGACTCCACAGCTGCAGCAGATTATGTTGCCATACCATGGATCAAAGCACAGGAAAACTCCCCATCCCCTGCTCACAGACAGGCACAGACTGGAGCATCTCTGATAGATCCCAACTCTCCTCTCCGTGGATAAGGAGGATGTCCAAGGGACCAGAAGGAACAGGATCCAGAAGGCATATGCATGGGACAACCCCATGAGACTTCAGCAGATCTGGAAGACCCTCCTCTCTTTTGGACATCAGCTACCAACACCTTGCAAGGAGTATTTTTGGGGGAAATATTAAGCAGAGTTCAAGAGGTGAAAGATAAGGACAAATTAAATGGAAAACAAGGAAAGGAAAGAAATTATTTTATATTATTCCTGCTTGGCATAAGGCTCCTAATATTGTCATGTGGCAATGTAACCATTTGGGGAACACAGGAAAGATGTGCTGTAACGAACTCAGTAAACCAACTTGTTTCCTGTTTTCTAAATTCTAAAATTACTTAAAAAGTTGGTTTTTTTCTTAAGTTTTAAAAAAAATTAGGAATTTTCTTCCTAGATCTGAGCTAGCAAAGCAGTAGCAGAACACTTGAACTCTGTGTTCATTTTGATGTAAGAATTGGAGACTAATGGGCAAGATATTGGGATTTTAGAAAACATTTTTGCATTTTCCCCTTTTTGTGATCAGCTCTAAGAGACCAAACTAAAAAGTGTGTATTGGTGGTGGGGGAAAGGAAAATGGCTTTGAAGTTTATTTTCTCTTCCCAATGACAAAGGCAAATGCATGACTCCATATTTCCAATCCCAGGAGAAAAACAAGCACCCCAAACCACCAGCTCTGTTTGCACCTTGGGAGTGGCTGAAGGGACTTTGAGCATATCAGAAGGGAAAAGGATTCAGCAACACAAATTCAGTGTCAGCTAAAGGGAAGGAAACAGGTGGCCAAGTGAACCGGCAATTGCCCTTTCACCCCTGTGGCCTTGCTCTGAATCCAGTTCCAGCCAGAATTATTCAATCCATCCTGATGGGATGGATGGTGGCTCCAAAGGCATCAGGGGTTGATCATTTAGGCTGAGCTCGTGGCAGCCAGAACATGCACAGTGAGCAAGCCTGGCCTGGGGAAGGGCAAAGTGGAGATCTTCGTCATATTAATTTGGAGCTGAGCATGGCTCCAGGCCCTTCCGCGTGCTCGGAAATCTCCTGGTGCTGCTGTTCCATGAGGACTAGTGAATGTTCACCCTGGATTGAATTAGCCTCCAGGATGAAATATGGGCTCAATACCTCCTGCCCTACCAGATTTGCTCCCTTCAGGGCATGGCCCAGCAGCATGTGGGAGGATGGAGATGCAGCAGTTGCTTGGACTTGGAAAGCATCAACCTCCAGGCTCCCCAAATGAAGGTGCATTAAATCCACCAGCATTTTCCACAGGGAAAGGAAAATTACAGTTAGGATTTTTTCTTTACAGTTATTTTAATGGTGTTCAATGAAATTCCTGGGTTTAATCACTCTGCTGGCCTCACTCAGCCCCTACACTCTCTCCATCCACCAGCACTGCTCTGCATCCATGTGTTCAGGGTCACGTATGAAGAGCATTTTCCAAACTCTTGATACACTTTTGTCACTGTACTTTTATTTTAGATAAGAGAGAGCTATTATATTGACAGATAAGACACCAACTACATGGACAAGACACTATTTTGATTCCACCACCATCACTACCTTTGATACCTCACTACAGTGCTCAAGGAAAGGTGATCACAGAGTCACTTCAGCAACCAGCCAAAAAAAAAAAAATCTATTTCCCAGCAAATCCTTAGCAAAAATCCATCCTCCTTCCTGCCTGCTGGAGGGTTTGACCCAGCCCCCAAGCCTTCAAACCAGTCTGGATTATAAAACTCAGCCTGATTCAAACTACCTATTTATGACTAATAAATTCTCTTTTCCATGCAGTAGACTGTTGAATCTATTTGCTAACTGGTGGCCAAGGGACTTTGGGGATGGAAATCAAAATCACTCCTTCAGTCCTACTGAATCAATTCCAGTCTTGCTT